GTCTTCCCCCAGGGAGGCCAAAACATGAGCTAGCTCCAGATTCCCGGAGGTGGGTGCTGGGTGGGTGGGGACTCCGTCTGCCCCCCACCTCAGAGGCCAGCGCATCCTCTCTCCCCAGCCTCTTCCCCACCATGCCAAGGCACAACTACCGCCGGGTGGCCCCACTGGTCAAGGCCCTGTGTGCCAAGCATGGCCTCAACTACGAGGTGAAGCCCTTCCTCACCGCCCTGGTGGACATCATTGGGTAAGGGGCCTCTGTCTCGTGTCCCAGCCCGGCCCCGGTCCTCCCCCACCCCAGCACCCCTTCTCTGAACCTGCACGGTCCCTCTCTAAGCTGGCATTCCAGGCCTTGCCAGGCCGCAGGCCCTGCCCAGGAACGCGGGCTGAGATCCCTGCTGCTGGGGTCCCAGCGGGGGAAACAGCAAACAGTTCAGATAACAAGAGCATGACAGAAAATGCGAGGGGGCGAGAAGAGCTCTGGCATTAAACAAAACCACAGAACCTAAGGGTGGGGGCAGGAATGGGCACAGGGAGTCCCAGACGGGTCTGTGTTTTAATAGGTGGCAGGGTAGGTGGTGCTGAGGTGACGTGAGCAGAGACAGGGAGGAGGAAGGCTGGACACGGAGACCTCTGGGGGAAGAGTGTTCCAGGAGCCTGCTGGTGTGGGCGAGAGCCACCGTACCAAGGAGGGGCACTCAGGACTTGGACTGAGGATAGACTGACTCTGGGGCTGCACCCACGGGCAAGGGCTAAAGCAGAAGGGGCAGCTCGGAGGCTCCTGCAGCCGTTCAGGCAAGGGCTGTTGGGGCTCTGCCCTCCGGGTAGCCTTGACTATGGGGAACAGAGGCCTGAGTCCCCAGCCAGAGCTCTTCCACCTCTGTGCCTTGGCACATGCTGTTGCCCTTGTTTGCCCTTCCTTTCATACTGCTGTTTGAACTGCTTCTCCTCCCTAGCCTGGCCCTCTGAGCCCCTGCCACCTGGCACAGCCCCTAAGTGCCCCTGGCACGGGGTTTCCTAGTGATTTCTGCCTCTTCCGCCCAGCAACAGAGCTGGGTGAAAGAGAGATGGGCTTTGCCTGTCCTGCCTCCCCTGCCCCCACCCAGTTCTAGACCCCACTTCAGTTTAGGAACATGTCGCCTTCTGTCGGGAATGGGGATCCCCACTCACACATCATTTGGCATTTGGGGGGGTGGTTAGTAGCCTGTAATTGTGTCTTCCCAGGTCTCTGAAGAAGTCTGGTGATGTCTGGCTAGAAGCTTACCTCCACCAGTGAGGGCGGCCTCCAGGGCCCCCAACCCACCAAGCCGGCCCCAGCAGGCCTCACAGCTCCCCGGGGGACCCTGCCTGCCTTCCTGGTCCTGCTGTCTCCCCCTCGGCCCCTCACCTGCCCGCTCAGCAGCTCTGAGGCCTCTGACCCAGTGGGAGCGTGGCTAGGGGGATGCTACATAAAAATCACATGGTGAGCATGACATGTTTTCCTAGAGTGAAAATCGGGGGAAAACTGTTATTTTTATATAAAAACAAATCAGATGTATCACGGAGTGCTGAACTTGCATGGCGTCTGCTCCAGATTCCCACTGTGGGGTTCAGGCCCTTGGGTCATCAAGGCATTGGGGAGCATGGGGGACGGTGACTTTGGGAGCTCCCTCTGCTTCAGTGGGTGGGGAGCTGAGAGGTGCCCCGGGCTTGGATCGGCCATGGCCTGATCCTTTCCTGTCCCTCACCCCAACCCCGGTCACCAGCCTGTCCCGCCAGCCCACCTCATTCTCCTCTGCGCGTGGACAGGGGCTGGGCCAGCGGTGAGGGCCAGGGCTGAGGCCCTGCGCGCAGGCACCCTGGGAGGGGGAAGCCACCGCGGGCTTGCACCGCCCTCCTCCAGAAGCCCCCATGGGGAGGAGGCTGGGAGCCCCTGGCAGCTGGCCACCTGCCCGTCCATCTGTCCATCGGCACCACATTTAGCCTCACATCAGTGGGTGGAGGGGGGTGGTTCCACCAGACTCCTTGTCAGGGACGAGGAGGGGACGAGGGGTCTCCCCCATGCCCACTGGGCCAGGTGCTTGCCAGCAGTTGCTGCGGCAAATAAGGTGGGTCCCGGGAATGGGCTGTTTCTGTTTCGCGTCTGGGGGCAGCCTCTGGGCTCGTCCTGGCTGCCTAGTGTCAGGGCATCCCCTCACAAAGCCTCAGGCGGCTTCTCCGGGAAATGGGGGTGGTTTTCAGTTTGGGGAAGAGCGATGAGTTGCCTCGTGGGGCCTCCTGAGGGTGGGAAGGGGGAGCAGAGCTGTGGACCCCTCCACTCCCAGCACCCCCACACATCACCAGCTCCACCCCGAACTGAAGGCATCACTTCATCAAGTCTCCACGGCTCCCAAAACTTGTAATGCTGAGTTAGCATTTCTCGGAGGGCCTTTGCAGAGTGGGGGCCAGGGTCACCCCACTAGCTGCAGGGATTGCCCCCCACTCTGTCAGGTTTCCCCTCACCCTGGACTGGGCTCCCTTCGGGAGGTGGAAGGGGCACAAATACTGCAATTCTTGTTAAACTCTTCCCCGGGGTCCACTCCATGGAGCGTCCATTTGCACCAGGCGCAAATCCTGCTTCTGCCAGGACTCAGCTGTGTGACCCTGGGGAAGCTACTCAGCCTCTGTGGGGTGCGAAAGATAAAAAGGGGTGTGTGTGGATGGCTTAGCACCCCCTACCCCATGCAACAGGGTTCAGAAATTAAAAAATTTCATAACACAACCCAGTGCCCCCAGGCCACCACCTGCCCTCACCTGGAGCCTGCTGCGGCCTCGGAGCCGGTTTCCTCCTGAAAAGGCACTTCCTGCCTTGACCGCCAGCTCCAGCCCAGGTCTGTTCCGCATTCAGGGGCCTTGCACAGGCCGTTCCCTCTGCCGCAGTCTCCCTACCTGCGGCCACCTGCGGAAACTTGCTGACCCCAGTGCCAAGCGGGCAAGCCTGGGTCGGGGTGGCCTCAGAATGGTGGCCCCTCCAGGCCTTCCCCCTGGCCTCTGCCTCCTCAGCTGGTAACAGAAGCTGCGCATTTCCCCTGGTGCCTCTGGTTGCTTATCAATCTGTTAACGCCTCAGATTGGGGGCAGCTGCTTCCCCCCCACCCTTGCAGGGATGGGCCTGCAGCGCTCTCTAGAGGAGCCCGGAGGGTCTGCGCCACTGGGGCTGGCCGTGCTTGTGCTGCCCCTGGTGGTGGCCGAGGGAAGTGCGGCCTCCCGCCTGCAAATCGAAGTCCTTGTCCAGTAACTTGTTTACAGGACACTTGGGGAGGTCCCCTGCCTTCAGGTAGTCATCCCTTTTGTCCATCTCTCCTTGCTGACTGGAGTCCCCCCCACTGGTGGGTCACCTTTGGCCTTGTCCCATGCTGTCCCCCATGCTAGAGCCCCTGGGGACAGGCCACTTCCCCTCTCCAGCAGTGAGAAAACCAGGGCATCGCAGGGCTCGTGAAAGGAGGAGCCTTGATGGAGCCTCCAAGAACCCCCGCGCCCCTGCTAGCTGGTCTCCAGTCAGGGGGGTGTGCAGCTGGGGTGCTGCGGAGGCACCGTCCTGGGGGCAGTGGCCTTCCATCCGGCCAGCAGCGACTGTCACCTCTGCTGTGCCCCTTTTCCAGTGGGCAGGGGAGTGTCGTGTCTAGCTGGACACCTGAGCGACTCGCCAGGCCCTGGCACACACCCACGCCACGCAGAGCTGACACCCTCCTCTGGGAGCAGCCGCCTCACTGAGTGAGCTTCCAGCTCCTCCACAAGGATGGCCTCCCGCCACTGCCCCCACGGCGTGGCCATGGCTGGGGCACCTGGGAGCAGTCTGACAGGAAGGAGGAGGGGTCTGGGTGAGGAGCAGGGATCCCAGATTGGCCTGGCCCGGAAGCCATCACCGTGTGGCCTCAGGCCAGTCCTTTCCCCCTGGTCTCTGCCTCCTCAGCTGTTATCCACACGGGAGTTTGAGGGACTCGACAGGGTGGGGGTGGGAATCACACCCCCGCAGTTCTGTGTAGGACAAGAATCTCGGGAGCACAGGGATGGGAGTGGTGGCTAGGCAGAAACAGGTCCCAGGCTGCCCTAAGGGTAGTACTTTAGGACAAGGTGCCAGAGACCCAAGTGTCTATGGACTTGGTGCCCTCACAGCCACCCCCCCCAGCGTCCCCTCCCAGGATCCTGGTTGTCAGTGATAGATCCTGCACTTCCAGCTGGCAGTGGTGGGGGGGAGGGGGCTTGTTCTGTACTGTTCTGGAAATCAGGGTACAGATGACTCCCAGGAACTTCCAGCCTTGAAGGCCTCTCCTGGGTCTGCTGGGAGATATGGAAGGTATCATCTTTGGCGTCCCACAGCAGGTCCCTTCTTCGTACAAATAGGGGGTGCTACTTCCCTCCTTCTGGAGTCAGACAGACTTGGGGCCCAGGACCACTTTATATGAACTAGCAGCAACACTGGGCTGTGAGGACGTAGTGAGCTACTCCCTGCACAAGGGGCACAAGATGGAGTGTCAGTCTCCAGGGCTTTCCTCAGCCCCTCCGGAGGCTGGGTAATCTCTGCCCCCAGAGCTCTGGGCGCCAACCGAAACAGGCAGAAGTCAGGGAAGCCAGTGCCACGAGGCCAGCAGTGGGCAGCTATTCCAGGGATGAGGATGCAGGAGACAGGACTGAGGTTGTGGGGATGGTGTCCTGGGCCAGCCCCTCCTTGTTGCCCTCCCAACTCCCCAACACCTTCCAGAAAGCCCCGCGTGGCTCCAGGGTCTTTGTCAGTCGGGTCTGCATGAGCAGCTGAGCCCCCAGGAGGACCAAGGCCGGCCGACTATCTGGGTCATTCGCACCATGCACCTGACCAAGTGCATGTCAGGGAAGGGAAAGTCCTCTCGTGAGCAGAGGCAGCAGTGGGCAGGCAGGGTGACCACAGGGAGGGGGAGCACAGAGGACAAGTGCTGCCCTCCTCCCGGTGCCCGGGCCCTTGACCCCCAAAGTCTCGCCTGTATTAACACACAGGAACACAAGGCTGCCCGTCGACCAGATAAGTGAGAATAAAATTACTTTTATTTCCAAAAAATGGAGGGATGGGGAAGCAATGTGATAAAAATTAAGATCAGTCCCCTATGAACCCTTTCTGCCCCTGGGGAGCAGGCTGGCTTGACAGGCCTGTGTTCTAGGCGGGAGGGCTTTGACCTCCTGGCTGGCCAGAGCTGGGGTCTAGAAGCCCCCCGAAAGGTCCCCACTCTGAGCCTGCTCCTGCCCCACCCTCCCCAAAGCTAATCACGGTTAGTGGGTTAGATTTCCAACTGCTTCATCTCAGGGTCCCCCACTTCACTTTTCCGTCCCCTCAGCAGCCGGCCTCCAGCCCAAACTCCTCACCACAGTTCCCACACGCCCCCCCTCTCCTCAGGGCCACCTCTTCCCAGACTCTCCCTCTGCCCCAGTGCCACCCCACCAGCAGCAGCCTCAGTGAGTGAGCCCAGCTCAGCCTACTGAGGGGCCTGAGGTGAAAGGCAGTTTGTCACAAGGCCCAGCCCCGTGGCCAAACCCCGCCTCATCAGAATGTATCCTGTAGCAAAAGGTTAAAAAGCCAGTAAAAGATGTAAGAGAGTTAAAGTAAGAAAGCACACGTCCTCACCAGCCCCCCAGACACGTGTGTGTTGGTGGGGAGGCTGCAATGGAAGCCCCAGGCCCCCATACCCTCCTGCAGCCTGAAGGGCCTGCACCGCCAGGGCCTGGCTGCCACGGCTAGAAGGGTCTTGTCGCTCCAGATTAGGTCTCCCATTGGGACAGACATCTGAAGGGGTGGGGTGTCCAGGCAGCACCTCCAGGCCAGGAAACCCCCAACCTGGCCTTGGCCTCTGCTGGTATTGTGCTGAGTCCTCAGTGTCATCGGACCCAAGGTCACAGGCTCTGGAGTTGGTAGGACCATGGCTGGAACCGCTGAACCTGAGCCAGGGTGCCCCAGGGGTGAGAAAGGCATTTCCCTAGACCCCAAGGTCTGAGCCAAGGAAGATGGGAGCTGGGGCCAGACCTGGAGGGTCAGGGAGGCGCCTTGCCCGGTAAGGACCCTACCCCACAGGCCTCGAGAGAGCCTGAGGGAGGAAGGGGGGAGTGTGAGGCCTGGTGGTGGGCGGGGTCTGCAGACCACTGGCCTTGGGGGCAGGAGGTGGGGAGAAGGCTGAGCTGGCAGAGGGCAGGCCCCATGAGGGAAGGGCACTGGAGGGAAAAGTGAAGTGGAAACGGAGGGGAAAACCAGAGAAAGACCGAAACCGAGGCCTGTGAGCTGGTGTGTACCCCAGCCCCACAAACACCCCTCAGAATAAAACCCCACCCGCCCGTTGGTCATCACCCCTACCTGCCCTCCCTCCCCCATGGGCACCCCAAGGGCTGCAGCTTCACTTGTGGAGGTAGGCGTCCAGCCACAAGTCCCCAGACTTCTTCAGGGACCTGGGAAGAAGGAGGATGGAGTCAGGGACCAGGGGGGGTGGGACCAGGGAGCCCCAGGGAGTGGGCAGGCTGCAGAGGCCGTGACAGGGTCTCAGCTGTGACCCAGGGGTGCCACAGCCACTGGGGCCCACAGGGCAGTAGCTTAGGGTTCCCCAGGGAACTCCCTGTGGCAGGACAAGGGAAGGTCCTCTCCAGCCCAAGGCAGAAGCAGGGCATCCTGGCAAGAAGGTGGCCCGTGGGCCAGGCCTGCTCACTTTGGACACCACCACGGTCACCAACTCCACTGTGGTGGCCCCACCATGTCCTCTGGTCCCCACCCCGGCCCAGCACCCAGGGGCCCCTCCTCACTTGAGGATGTCCTGCAGGGCCCGCAACAGCGGCTTCTCCTGGTAGTCGATGCCATGCTTGGCGCACAGGGACTTCACCAGTGGAGCGATCTTGTGGAAGTTGTGCCGGGGCATGGTGGGGAAGAGGCTGGGGGGAGGGCACGTGTGAGGATGCCCGCGTGTGCCGGCTGTTGTGGCCAAGCACCCTGCCTACAGCCCTCCCTGGTGCCCTCTGGGGCTGCTGGCATGTGGGGGTTTGGGGCAAATGCAGGGGGGTTCATGAACAGGACCATGTGTGTGCTCTGGGAGTTGGATTCTGTCCAGGCTGCTGTCTGACCTAGCTGGGGACTCAGTTTCTCTGTCAATGAAGGCTCAGTCCCCTGCAGCTGCGCTCACCGCATCAGGGGAGCAAAGGGAAAGTGCCCTGAAGCGAGAGCTGGGCACCGCGAGGCAGCAGACAGTGGTCGCCAGGCCAGGGCACCAACTGGCCTAGGGGAGGAACAGCGGGGAGCCCACTCCCCGTGGTGGGCTGGCTGCAGACTGAGCTCTCAGACTGGGGGAGGTGGGTCAGGGGGGAGAAGGAGGTAGCCCCAGGCTGCTTCTGCCCAGAAGGGGCTGTGCCACCTCCCTGCCCGCATGCTGACACTCACTGGTGCTCGATCTGGAAATTGAGGTGTCCGCTGAACCAGTCGTTGAAGAAGGACTGCTCCACATTGCAGGTGGCTGCCAGCTGGGGGGAGGGGGGATGGTGGTGGTGGTGAGTAGCCAGGAGCAGAGGGAATGTTCCCGTGGCCCAGCTTTACCCAGGGTCTCAGGACCACCCCGCTGTGTCACGCTCTCCTGCTGGAGTCCTCAGTCCACCCAGGTGCCCCACTAGCTCCTAAAGATCCCCACCCCTTGCTTGCTTGGCCAGCAAACAGACCCCAGCAGCCCTAGGACAGCCCGGCCGGAGCCAGGGTCCCTGGGCAGTCAGGCTCTGGGTGCCCAGGACGGGGCTAGAGAGGTTCGGCCCTGACTGCCCTCACCTGGCTGCTGAACCAGTCGCGGTAGGGCTCACGGTCGATCTCCATCACGATGTGATTCATCTGCGTGACCCACACGAACCAGTGGCTCTCCAGGAACCTGGCAGAGGGCACAGCTCAGTGCTGGCGTCCCAGGGCTTGTGGTCCTGGGGGACACCCGTGGAGGGCACCACCCCACATGCCCAGGGCAGGTGTGTGTGTGTGGGGGGGTAAGCTGTGCCCCTGCCGCGGTGCCAGGACGTGAGGCCCAGCAAGAAGTGGCCCCTGAACCTCTCGACCTGGGGCCTCACATCAAGGACCCCCACGATGCCAGCACTCAGGACACATGATTAACCAGCAAAACTCAGGCACCTGATGAAGTTGAGGAAAAGGATGGCTCCCAGGACGCCATAGAAAGGGGTGTAGGTGATGAAGAAACGGGTATAGTAGCTGATGGCCCAGGCCAAGTCCTGCAAAGAGAAACACGGTCAGACGTGGCACCGCCCTGCCCTCCCTGGCACAGCATCCTGACCGCCAGGGCAGATGATATCTCACCTCTCTGCTAAGCAAAACTGTCCAAGAAACCCCGTCAGGCCCTAGGAAGCTGGGCACCAGGCCCGCCCCGGATTTGATGCCTGTTTGCACAATTGTCCGTTTCTAGAGAAATGCTGAGTGTTTTAGCAGCGGGAAGGGGGGCTGCGTGCTCTCGGAAAGAAGCAAGATGGGGGCCAGGATGGGCTCCCTGTCCACCTCCAAGTCCTACCTCTGCTGTTCTGCTGCTTCCCTTCACCTGCAAACACTGAAACCAGAGGCCCTGCCCGCAAGGATGATTACAATTTTATTGTCAGTGACGCATGGCTCCTGCCTGTATAAACTAACCCGAGCCTGCGCTTGCTGGAACAGCTCTCACAGGATCAAGTCCGTTGCACAAGGTTCAAATCCTCAGTCTGACTAATAAATTCCTTGAGCATCATAGAGACTTTTATTTCAGCCAACAGTAGAAAAGGGGGGCAGTTGTAGACAGGGAGAGCCTGGGGGGCCAGCAGTGGGGGCCTGATGGGGGGTGGAGAGAAGCAACTAGTACAGTTGTATTAATGGGAGTTGTGCTTATTGACATATTTTATGTGTAGAGGGGTACACAGCCCCTGGTTTCAGGGTTCCAGGTGAAGGGAAGCAGTCAGACCAGCAGAGACGACTCACAGACAGACAGGGGGTTGGCAGTGGTGTCAGATTGAGGGGCTTCCCACTGGGTGAGGCCTGGGGATCCCCATGTGGCAATGGGCATGCTGCCAGAGCAGTGGAAACCCCCCCTCCTCCCAGCTCTTAGAGCGTATCAACCTTAAGAGCTCTTGGGGTTTATCTCGGGGTTTCTCAGACTCCACATTCACCTATGTGGCTGGCTCATTCTTCGTAGCGGGGGCTGTGTCCCGCATGGAAGAATGTTCACCAACCTCTCCGGCCGGATAGATGCCAGCACACTCTATCACCCCCGATTTGTGCCAATCAAAAATACCACCAGATATTGCCAACTGGCCATCAGAGCCACTCCTGTAGAGCCACTGCCCCGGTTCCAGCTGCAGAAGCACGTGTGGGCCTGCCTCTGCCCCACGTGGGCATGGACCCGAGCAAGGGGCTTCTCGGCCTTAGCTCCCCCAGTACCAAGCCCGGAGCACACTGCCCCTGTTTTACAGATGCAGCCAAGGATGGAGGCTGGCTCCTCCCACCCAGCCCCAGCCCTACACTCCCCTGCAAGGGACAAGGGCAGGGACCCAAGCTCCCTACCGCCAGGTGGGCCCTGAACCTCAGGGGCCTATCCAATTTCCCTGGCTCTGCCATGATGGCGTTCGGTTGCCCAGGCTGAGTCTCTTTCCTGCTCTCTCTGTTGCTTTGTTCCCTGGGGGGAAAAGTGTGTTGCAAAAAAATGATTAAATATCCATGCCAGGGGTCATCTGTCGGCAAAGCCTCCGCCGACCCAGCACAGCAGGGCTCAAGTTCCGTTTTAGCTGTGGCCTCCTGGGGGACCAGGTAAGCCCCAGGGGCCACAGCAGGCTGACAGAGGCAGGAGATCTGGGGTCAAATTCCCAGTACCTACCTAAACCAGAAGCTTCCTACAGCCCGCACCTGCTCAGCGCTCAGAGTCCCAAGGCCTCACGCAGAGGGCAGCGCTGAGCTATTCCCAGAAGCTGGAGTCCTGACAAAGAGCTCTTTGGAGAAAACTCAGTTTACCTACTAAGTCCTAGTGCAGGTACACCCAGGCCCACGAGGGGAGGGCCTTCTCCCTGTCACCCCAACATCCCGGCCCAGCCCGGGCCTCTGAGCTGAACTGCTCAGCAGAATGCTGAGGAGGAGGCTCTGTCCAGCATTGCAACTGCGGCTTGGAAGACTTGGCCTTCTCATGCTGAAAACGTGAAAATACTTTGAAGCCCTTAACATGTGACCCAGACACAAGCTACTGTCATGGAGAGACTGGTGGCTGTGCCTGAGGGACAAGTCCAGGACGTAGTATCAGAATGCCCTGGTCCTGGTGCCTACCCCACCCACTGCATCTCGGTGGGCAAGACGCCAACTCTCCGTCTCAGCGTCATCATCAGTTTACCTACTAAGTGACTATCCCGGGAGCAGGCTCTGCCGGAGGTGACCGATTGCTGCACGCAGGCCACTCCCTTGGGCAGCTTCCTCTTGTGCAGTCACACGTGGTCAGAAGGCCAGGGAGCGTGCACCGGGCTGTAGAGACCCCTGGGGTCCCTTTCTCTCTCTCTCTCTCTCTCTCTCTTTCTCTCTCTCTTTCTCTCTCTCTCTCTCTCTGGAGGCAGGATCTATCAGGCCCAGCGCCACAGACTAGACAGTGTCCCTAAAATGCTATGCTGAAGTCCTAACCCCCAAGTCCATGTCAGGACGCAGGGTGGATGCAGAAGTCCTGAGCTGGGACAATGTCCTCGGGGTGCGCCCTAACCCACGTGACCATGTCCTATGAAAAGGGAAATTTGGATGCAGGCAGACAATGAGGAAAGATGATGTGCAGAGACACGGGAGGCCAAAGCCACCCACAGCCAGGAGCGAGGCCAGCACCCCCTCCACACACATATCCCCGCACCCCCAGCTGCAGCACGGGCATCTGGTCTTCCAGCCTGCAGAACCGGGGCCAAGGTAACGCTGTCAGTTGACAGTTGTGGCATCAGCTAGTGCTCCTTGGTGGCAAGTCTTAACAAACACACCTGGTTCCTCAGCCATGCCCAGCCACTCTCCACTTACCACCACAGTGTGGCATGACCCGGTTCTCGGGGTCTCAAGGGTGGCAGGGTTATACAGGGAGGGCGAGAGCCGAAGTGGAGCCGTGGCAGGGTGGGCGGCCATTTTTGGTTCAGTTGCCTTCAGGAACTTTCTGAGGAGGCTCTGCAAAGGCAGTGGCTCCCCACTGGGCTCCCAACCATGTGCTGAGCAACAGCTTTAAGACATGGCCTCTCTGCCCCTGCCTGCTCAGAGATGTCCCTTGGGAGAGCCAAGGTGCCACCCCAGGAGGAGACCAGGTTCCCGCAGGCCCCAAGGAAGCACCTGGGCTGCAGTGCAGGCCCCACACGTCCATTGGCCCAGGCCCCTCTCCCTGCACCCGGCAGTGGTGCCCCCACTCACCACCCAGTCCTTGCGGACGATCATGGTCATGATGATCTGGTACTGGAAGTACAAGGGGATGAGCAGCGGCGGCCCAACTGTGGGAAGAGCAGAGGCACTCAGGGCTCCAGGCTGGCAGCTGGGGGGGGGGGGGGGGTGGGGGCACTGAGGATAGGCAGAGAAACTGGGGTCCCAGTGGCCAAGGAGCGGGGTGGAATCTGTGGGGACAGCACACAGCAGCACCCCACCACACCCTGGGTCAGCATCTGGTTGCCCTGGGCCTGTGTCCTGTTGGCACCGTGGGCTGGGGATGGCACAGGGTGGCTGCAGTGGCCCCTTCCCTAGCAGACTCAGAGTCACTTTTTGGGTCTGAAAGAGCACGTGGTGGGAGGAGGAACAGGAGGGACAGCTCTAGAGTGAGCTGGGGTCCAGGCTGTGGCTGAAGGGCCCCTGAACACTCACTCAGGAAGAAGTACTCGTGCTGGTGGTTGTAGGGCAGGTATTTCAGCTTCTTCTTGCCGTACTGAGGAGAAAGCAGAGATCGTGAGGGCCTGGTGCCCCTCTGGCCTCCGCACCCTTCCTGGCCTCTCCTCCAGCCTTCAGGTCCTCTGTCCCTCTCCTGCCCATCCACACCCTGGGTCCCCTGAGGCTGGGCCCCTCAGGCCTCTGAGCCCCCACCACTCTGGCTAACAGGAGGCAACATTCTGGAGCCCTGGCTGAGTGTCCGCCTGAGCTGCCTGCCACACAGGCCTAGTAGCCCAGGATGCTGGTGTTTCTGAAGGGGCTGAGCATGGTAGGCCTTCAGTCACTGTCCAAAGCCACATGCTAAGTGGGCCCGGCTGGGATCTGAGTCCCCAAAAGCCGACCCAGGTGACAGGCTCTCCATAACTGGTTGAGTGAACACACAAGTGAAAGACTCACAAGGCATGGGACAGCAGGGGCTTGCCCTGGGGAGCTCAGCCACCAGGCTGGGAGCACCTCCCTCCACGGATGCTCCGGCAATCCCCAAGAGCTAATTACCCCTGGGCCACACCTGGTCACCACATCCCACCCAAGGCACCAGTTCCCTCCCATGGAGTCTGAGCCCCCCGCAGCCTGGTGCCAGGGCTAAAGTGAGTATCCTCACTATACATGCCAACTGGCTGAGCATGCCAACGGGGGACCCATGGCCCCTCAGGATCCCCGGAGTCCTTTCATTCCTGGACCCAGCCGGGGACCTGCCCACCCTGAGTCTCAGGGACTAAGACCAAAGGACGCTGCTCAGAGCAGCCCCCCCTGTACCTGCTTGAGATGCTGGGAGCATGTGGGGCCCAGACTGGGATGGCTCGCCAATGAGAACATGGGCCTAAATGCCAGGTGCTACTCCCAGGGCCCACTCCTACTAAAGGGGCACTCAGGAGACCAAAGCCTGTTCTGGATGGAAAAATCCTGTGTCGTCTAGGCCAACTGACCCATTCCTCAGGTGAGTGCACGAGGGCCACCATCATGGGGGAGGGCACGGAGACTCCTGGGAGGCCCCGGGGAGCACAGCCCGTCTGGTCCCAAGGTCGTGCACGTTGGCACCCTGGCCAACGCCCAGCTGAACCCACCAGAATGAGCCCCGCTGTTCTGTGTGGCTCCTGTGCCTTGGCAGGGACTCCTTCATCCCCACAGTGCATCCACTCAAGGATGAGGCTGACCCGGTGGTCCCAGCTGGGGAGGCTCCCAGTGGAGGGAGGAGGGAGAAGGGCCACTTCAGGGGTTCCAGCAGCCAGTCCAGGGATGTACAGAGGCAGGGTTCCCTCGGTCCTGCTCGAACCTCCTCCCAGGAGCCGGAGACCGGCCCACAGGCTCAGCCTCGGTCTGCAGGCTTCTCTGGCCCTGGACAGGAACCTCACCCACACATCTCTGCCCCACCTGCCTAGGCTGCCCTCAGAGCTCACCCCCTACTTCAGGTTTGGGCAGTCAGAGAGGCCATACCCCCAGGGGGAACTATGGGGAGACGCTTAGGGAGGGATCCCTCGGAAGGACAGGGGGGCAGCCTTCGGAGGCTTTAAACAGGGGCATGTTCCCCACCGAGGCTAACAGCCAGGCCAGGGCGGGCAGCACTGCTGGCCTGGCTTTCCGGAGCTCCACAGCCCTCTGCCCCTCGGGATGACCCTCCAGGGCTCAGCCTCTGCTCAAACCACAAGGCCAGTTTTGGTTTACAGGCCAAGGTGGTGCCGGGGGCTGTGCAGGGAACTTTAATCTTTGGAACAAAATGTCTTGAGGAACAAGGGCCTTCCTTGTCTGAACAGAGTTGGGGGAGGGAACTGTCACTGCGCCCAGCCCCCACCACTGGTAACCTACAAACACACAGAGCAGTGAGGGCCTGACCAGGCCTGAGCAGCGAGGCCAGATTCCAGACCAGGGGCCCCAAGGGCATGGCTGTTCCTAGGGGCCACTGGTTTAGTCCAGTGGCCTTGGGCTTGAAGGGCTGCCTGGAGCGGGCAGCTGGGGTCAGCTGAGGACAACCACGGAGGCAGGGGGCATGGCCAGATGGGTGAGAAGCAAGGTCCCAGGCAGGGACGCAGAACAGTCGCGGCGTCTGAGGGCTCAGTGGTGCCAACATCACCTCTGTTTAACTCTGTCCTGCAAGTGCCAGTGAAGCCATAAAACCCAAACCAGAAATGAAGCCCATCGTAGCAGAGAGAGCCCAAAACTGAAGAATCACAGACACAGGACAACAGTCAAATATCAACAACTTTCCTGACTACTGAAGAAACCCCCACCATAATGACAAAATATCAACAATGTAGGATTAAATCGAAAAAGAAACCCCCACAGGACACAGAAAGAAAAATCTAAAGCCTTTCCAAGAGCTATCAAAGGAGCTGGAGTAAGTGGAGAGAGTCGCCTTATTTCTGGCCAGAAAGGCTGCACATACAGAGGTCATTTCCTTCTGGAAGGGAAAGTCAGCTGCCACCAGCTTCCAGTGTGTGCCAAGGACGGACCCACGAGATTCCCGAGGACAGAGGGGCGGAGACCAGAAGTTGGGGTTCAGGTGAGCTCATCCTGTCACATCACCTCATCCAAAAGCCAGCTGGCAAAAGTGAACCCCTGAAACGCTAATAACAACATCTACCAAGAATTTTCTAAGCATGAAGGAAATGAATCTCTGTTTATCTGAGATAAGAGCCCTGGCCTCTGGCTCCGGGGGCCACCGTGACACGTGTCCTGGCAGGGGACCAGGGTCCACTGACACCAGAGGCCCCAGGGTGGCATGGCCCTGCCGATGCCTGGGGTCAGCTCAACTAGGACTCCAGGAACCACTGGCCTTGCCCCCAGTGTGCAAGAGGCGGACCTCACCACGCATCTGTCTTGGCCATGTCTCTCAGATGCTGTTGGCAACTGGACAACCAGAACCCTGAAACCTCCCGCCCCCTGCCCTGAAGCCGGCCCTCGGGAGAGCCTGGAGAGGCGGAGAGGGAGAGGCTTCACTGGCCGCCCCGAGAAGAAAGGCGCCTTCCTGCCAGAGGAGCCAGTGAGACTGGTTCTGTTGTGAGGGGCCCAGGGACATCTGTCAAGGCGCCAACGGCTCTTCAACCCAGAGCCTCAGCAAGGCGAGCCTTTGTCCTCACATAGCAAGGCCCAAGTGCGTCAGTTCTACTCTCTAGACATGGCTAAGGGAACCTAACTGAGTCCTACGAGAGAAATGCCCACAAGTGCCTTGGTAGAGAATCCCGCCCGGCCAAGGGGGGCAATGCTTCCAAAGGAGTGAATTTTGGCGATTTCCTCATAATTGAGAATGTCCCAGAAAATCCGTTTCTGCTCATGTTTCTCTCTTGGAGAGACACAAAACGGGAGTAAGGGGGCACCGACACCCTCCTCTCCTTGTTTGGTCCTGGATGCCAGCGCTGCTGGGAATTCACGGGGCTGTGTGACCCCGTGTATGCACTTGCGTGGCAGATGCTGACCCGGCCCCTCCTCTGCGCCAGCCCGCGATTCTGAGGCTCTGCATAGAGGCAGCAGGGGGCCCCTGGCTTGGGTTTACATCATCCACACACTTCCAAAAAGCAAAGCATTTATAGACTGTTTCCGGGACCCCCGATAGGTAGGGCCTACCTGTTACACACGAGGGCTCGGGCCCCCAGAGATGGAGGGGGCTACCAGTACTGACTCTTGATTTTTTGGGACTGTGTTCAATGAGGAAATTCTTTGACTGCGTTGGGTGTGCTTTTATTAAGACTCAGGCACACCGAGTGGTCAGAGTTATAAAATAGTGTGGGTCATGCAGGGGCACCCCTGGTGGAGCCTGGCAGACTGGACTCTCAGAAAGAGGCCCAAGGGTGGGGGCGAGGGGCAAAGTGCAGAAGAGACGTAAGTTTCCATTAAAAAATCGCCACCAGATATGAGCATGTCTATACCACACTGAAAATATCCGGAAGAATTTCAGCACATGGTCAACTATGGGCGTGGTATCTGGGGCAAAGAGGAGCTGATGGAGATAACAGGAGACTCCCTTTTTATTTTTATTTATTTGCTTTGTTTGGTGTGGTTTTGTTTGATTTGAACTTATTTAACTTTGTCTGTTTCTTCACTATTTAAATGCTTAGAACAGGGGCCTCCCTGGTGGCCTAGGGGTTAAGGCTGAGCACTATCACTGCTGCAGCCTGAGTTCGATCCCCGCCCAGGGAGCTGACCCGCAGAGCGCAGCAGACCTCTCCTGTCTCCCTGCTGCTCCCCTTAGCAGTGTATTTCAATCCACCTGTTCTGCTCCCCACTCAGTCTCTGGTGAATCCTCTCACCCCCACCCTCATACCTCTACACTCCAGTTCTTCTATGCAAAAATAAATAAGTGCTTACAACAGGTGTTTTCTCAACAAAAGAAATAAAGGAAGTATAAAAACAAGGTAGACTGTTAGCAGGATCAGATGGTGTAAGACCTGGCCTCATGCTTGCCTGGAGGCTAAAGCAGCAGAAACGTGCCCACCCCCTCAGCCCCTCTGGGTCCACTTCGGAACAGTAGCCTGGCCAACAGGAGGAGGGAGAGACCTAAAACTCTGATAAGGACTCATGTCCATTATTTACATGGGGGAGAAAAAAATATATAAATACACATATATTTACATGGAGGCCAGACTCCGCCCATGTCAGCACCCTCTCCCCAGCCCCCCACCCCATACCTCAATGGGCTGCCACTCGCCCAGGACAAACACATGCAGCATGTTCACATCTGGATCCTTCTGGAAGATGTTGGGCTTGGCGTGATGCTGGAAGTGGCGGTGGTTCCACCAGTTGGCGGAGGCGCCCTGTGCAGGGGGCGGAGGGGAACAGGAGTGAGCAGGGCAGTCCTCAGGGGACTATTCCCAGGATCCCCGATAGGCGGAGCCTACCTGTTACACATGGAGGCTCAGGCCCCCAGAGAGGGAGGGGGTGGGGGGGGGCTACGAGTACTGACTCCAGAGAGCGCTGGTGGCCCCTGTGGCCCAGACCCCGGAAAGAAGTGCATCACCCCATCCCTCCAAGCCCGCGGCCCTAGAAGTGGGGGTGAGGGGCTCCTGGCAAGCACTTCAGCAGGTGTAGGGTAGTCCCTGCATTTTGCGGGGGTGTGAGGAGGGAGTGTGAGGACTCTTCCAGAAGCCAAAGGGAGGCCCCTCGGCTGGGTCAGAGGACCAGGACCTCGCCAGGCCAGAACCTGCAGCAAGGGCCCCTGCGTGTCCCCGGCTCTGACAGAACAAACCCATGGACCATATTGTCAAAATCCACCTTCGGCTCATCTCACTTTCACATGAAAAGAACCAAGTGATGATCCTAGATCATTTTTCATCCACTTAAAAAGAAATAAAATATTATGTTTAAACTTGGCACTGTGATGTAATACACTGACTTCTCCATTTTTAACTGTTTTTCAACCACTTTAGAGTTCTGGAGGTAAAAAAAAGTCAACCGCTAGAAAAAGAAATACAAATAGGCACCGTTTTTTCCTTTGGCCTCAGACTTTAATAGACTAGCATGGTCCCGATCTTTACCTAAAATTTTCGTATTTTGTTCAATGTTGTTATTTTTTACTTTCGTTTTGGTTTTTTAAAAAAGACTGCATTGAAAAGGTATTTATCTACTGAGTCTTTCTGGTGTCCCACTGAATTCTGCACACAGGCAAGTGCTTAGCTCACCTCACCCTAGTCCCAGGGCCCTGAAATGAGGCTCTGGAAAGGCTAGACTTCCCAATCTCCCCCTCCAGAAGCAGTCTAGCAAGCACAGGGCCTCAGTTTGCGTTTTGTCCGTGTGCCTGCCGAGCAATAATAGAGCTTAAGGCAGATGGGTGACAGCTCTGAACTGCCTTTGTAAAAGGTCATCCCCTGCGGAAATGTCCGCTGGGCGTGACGCAGGCATGTCGGGACTCGAGCTCACACCCAGAACTTACAGCTGCGCCAAGAAGCGGCCCCAGCCCGCCAAGGGCCCCAGCACTGTCAGCTGTCCTCCCCAGCTCGGTTCACAGACTTGAGGTGCGGGACACTTAGGGACCTCCCTGAATGAGGCCCTTTGTGCCCAGCAAAGGGGCCAGAGGAACAGATGGACCTACAGATCCTCCTCACTTTGGGGCACCCCTGGGTGAGCTGCGCATCCCCGTTACTGGCCTGCAAACAGCACAAAGGACTCGGTCAACAGGGCCCGGCCAGCCTGGAGGAGCCCATGACCCCCTCCAGCCTGTGACCGTCTCCCCAGAGTACCCTGATGTCCCGGATTGCGTCAGCACACGCTCCCCGTGGAGGCCAGCCCTCATTCCGGCCTCGTCCGTCTGACGCAGGAGCTGTGCGCCAAGGCCCTTCTGTCAGGCGGGCCAGGCCTGCTTGGCCCCCACCCAGCATCTGGAAACAGGACACAGCCCATCTTTGTCAAGTGCGGGGGAACATGGATTGGGAATAAAATGTTACTTTCTGACACTGGAGGGTTTTATCCAACAGAGAAGAGCATAAAATGAAACAAGGCGCTCTGCTCTGTGCACCCTCAGCCCCCAAATTCTGGAAGGATACCAGGTTCTCAGAGCCTTCAGACTAAGGGCCAGGCTAACCGCTTGCTGTGCAATGGTTACTTGCATGAGGGCCACTCACCCTCAGCCCCAGAGCCTGTAAGCCAAGGGCCGATGTCGTCGGGCAGCAGGGAAGTAAGTGTAACCCAGATGTAATGCTCTTCCCAAGTCAGGTTGGGGCGAGATGGAAATTTCTAGATCCTTGCCTTTCTTAGGAAGCAGTTGGACACTGTGGGGAAAAAACTGGGGTGGAGGGTGATCTGCTACAGAGAGTTGGCGAGAACCGGTTTCCAGAACGGAGGAGATAATGCCTATCGGAACAGCACAAGGTCCCTGGCAAGGGCAACCTGTCTCTGCACAAACTTGCTGAGCTTTGTGTGTGGTCAGCCTCCCCATCCACTGGGGGTAAGTGCAGAACCTTCAGGGTTTAAACCAGGTTCATCCAGTGGCTCAACAGATCCTTATCCTGTCTGAAGTTCCCTCCCTGAAGACTGATGGGGGGTGGCCTCCCTGGTGGTGCAAGGGGTTCAGTCTCAGCGCTATCAAGCTATCCGTAGCCACTGCAGCACAAGTTCGATCCTCGGCCAGGGAGCTGACCCGCAGGGCGCAGCAGACCTCTCCTGTCCCCCCGCTGCTCCCCTCAGCAGTGTATTTCAGTGAATCCACCTGTTCTGCTCACCGCTCTGTCTCTGGTGAATCCTCTAATGCCCTGCACCTCTGGCCTGCACACCAGCTCTTTTATTTGTAAATAAGTAAAAATAAATCTTTTAAAAAAAAGACTGACAGGGTGGCAACACCTGCTCCTCACACCCCTGCACTTCTGAAGCTGCTGCTTCAGAGGGACTCACTGCTGCTGAGGGACTCACAGCCCTGGATGGCTACTATTAAGATAAGGGCACCAATGACACCCACTGGGAAGGTCAACTGAGCAAGTTGCTGCTCTGAGTCTTGCTTTGTGCTTTCTGGCCCCCACGGGGAAAAAAGAATGGGATGTGCGTTTGAGTTCACGGGAGAAAGCACAACAGTCAAGAGCACTATTCATTTCCCAGCCCAAAGATAAGCATTCACACAGGGAGCAAACAATGAACTCAGCTGAATCAAAAGGATGCACCTGTATCAGAGGCAGCAAGCAGTTCCGGGCCTAATGAGGCACGTCAGGCAGGTCGGCCCCCCCAGCAGGAACGCCCAGCATCCATGCAGACCTGCCTCATCACCCTGTGGCCTCGAATACTGACTGCAGTGGGGACCTGCCTCCTAGGCATGTGGGGCAGCACCTGTCCAGCGCTCATCACAGAGGCCCGGGATACCCCGGCTGCTGAGGCCCAGGCTACCCCAGCTGCTGACAGCGCCTTACCTTCAAATGGCCGATGATGAACTTGTGGACGATGTGGTTCCACGTAGACTTCTCATAGACAGAGAGGTGGCCGTAATCGTGCTGCAGCCAGCCGGCTTGGGCCTGGGGAGAGGGTCACAGAGGTTCCACCACGCCAGGGTCACAGAGTGTGCCAGGCCTCTGCGGGCTGGGGGAGTTGGGCGGGGCTCCCAGGGACAGCAAGGTCGTCCCTCACCTGAGAGGTAGCGAGGACAAATCCCGTGATGAGGGTTGGGATCCAGCCATTGCCAAAGTAAGAGACGATGAACCAGGCGAGGCTCTCCATGACGATGATGTGGGCCAGGTGGAGCAGGAAGAACAGGTGGTTGGTCTTGAACAGGTTCATGTCCTCAGCCGTCTTCCTCAGGGCCCGGAAGTCTTCGGTGATCTGCGACTGTTGAGCACAGGGAAGGGGTTGACCGCCCCGTCGCTCTGGGGGGACCGACATCCTTTCAACACCCACTGCACAGCCCTGGAAGCTGTAGCCGGAGGGAGCCGGCCGCCCCACCTGGCCAGGTCTGGCTCAGCCTGGGAAGGGTGTTAACTCTGCCAACTAAGTGGCGAAGGAAGGCGCCCACTCCAAAGCTTGCAGGTGGACGCATGTGCACAGCAGTGTGCTTCGGTTACATAAATAGCAGGCGCCGCCGATGCTGGGCAAGGAACAGCTAGCAAAATTCGATCTGTCCACAAGGTGGAATGAAATATAATTCAGTCTTAAAAGGAAGTTCCGACACGCGCTACAACATGAACCAGCCCTGAAGACATTATGTTAAGTGAGATAAGCCAGAGACAAAGGGCAGATGGTGTGTGTGGCCGCACGTTTCTGGGGTGCCAGGAACAGGCAGGTCCATGGGTGGAAAGCAGAATGGTGTTGCCCAGGAGATGGGGGAGGAGGGAATCGTGCCAGTGGGGATCAAGTTTCAGGCCAGGGTGATGAAAAGCTCAGGAGGCAGCTGGCTCGTGGTGCCTTAGTGTCAGTGTACTCAAAGCCACGGGACTGTATGCCCAAAAATGGTCAAGACAGTGAATTTTATGTTATGTGGATTCTAACACTCACAAAAGGACTTGCATTTTCCACCACAGACACTGCTCCACTGGTCTTGGCATCCCATCAGACACAAAACCTATTCCTCCAAAGCTCACTTAGGCAAGAGGACTAGGTGGGCACTGGGCACCGGAGGGCTCTGAGGGATGAGCTTGCCTGGGAGGGCAGCTGGGTGGCAGGGGCCAGGAGCAGGCGTGGGAGGAGTGGACACGGGCCTAAAGGAATCAGCTGGGACATAAACAGGGTGCTTGAAGGGCAGAGAGGGTGGTGGATGGGTGGCGGAAGCCGGGGTCTGGGAGCCTGGGTGATAAATGGTGAAGAACCAACCTTCTAAGCAGCAGTGAAAGTGGGGAAACCAAGAGGGAACTAGAGAAGCAAGGTCAGAAAGAGGGGCGGCCCACCAGAGAAGGCAGGGAGATGATGCTGTCTGCCTGGAAGGGGGCCAGAGGGTGGAAGATGGAGCCCGAGGTGAGCTCCAGTGAGGGGTGAAGGCACTATCTGGAGGGCGGTGCAGAGGGGAGGGCAGGCAGGCCTTCTAGGGCACACAGACTTGACGTGGGGCTCCTAGAAGAGCAAATACAATAGCGTGGGGGTGACAAAAAGCAAAGTGTCCAGCCTCTGAGGCAGGCCCCAGAGATGAAGAGACTGGGAACTCATTACCTTCATTTCCAGAAGATGACGGGCCAGCCCAGGCTGGCACTAAGAGAAGGATATTCTCCCAGGTCAGCAGGGGCTTGGAGTCCTTGCTGACCCCCTGTGATAAGCAGTGGCTCCCCTGACTGGGGTAGAACTCCCTTGCTCTGGGGGCTGCAACCCTGCCTTCCTTCCTGGGCCCCGAGGTCCCACTCACGTTCTTGCCGCGGTCCTGGCTGGGCTCCTCGGGGGCCAGCTCTCCAATCAGCAGGGGCTTCATGAACTTGCGCACGAAGTCAAGGTCACGGTGGAAAGCTTGGAAGGCGTCCTGGGGAGCAGGGTGGGTGGTGAGGGCAGGGTGCACCAGCAGAAACTGGGTCCCGCTTGGACACCAAAGAGCACCACTCGGCACCCATTGCTCCCTTGGGTCTCTCCCTGGGCAGATGCCTCAGTGCCCATCTCACAGCCCGGCCACCGAGCTCCTGAGGCATTGACAGATGTGCTCTGCGAGGGCAATGGCTGGGCAGGGCCAAGGAAGGACACTGAGTCTCGCAGGCTCCACTGAGTGCCTGGGCACCAGCCGGGAAGGAAATGTGCCTGGGGGGTCCTCTTACACCAAAGACAAATGCAAAATTAGGTACAGGCATTTGTGACTGTGAAAAAAGGCCCAGTGATGTGACCACAGCAAGGAATATTAACTTTCTTCAATATGACAAAAATGGGGATCTTAGAGGATATCCCTGTTCTTAGAAGGAGGTGAAGACATCAGGTTGTCACCATAAAACTTATATCCATGTGACTGAGCGAAGGGAACTCCCACATGCATGGGGAGGCAGAAATGTGGTGACACGTTTAGATGTTCACTTTTTTTAGATGTTCACGTTTCTGTATGAAAAGTTCAAAGTTTTTTTAAATATAGGGGGAAATGCTGACAACTCCTGAATAAAAATGTTTCCCCCTCCCTGACCCCAGTATCTCAGTGGTCACTGCCAGGAGGCCTTGCCGCCAGGTGCGAAGGAAATTCTCACGCGTGCGCGGGGAGGCAGAAATGTGGAAGGACCCCGGCGCTGCCACTTATAACCTGGGGTCGCCTTCCCGTGCACGTTTCTTTATCTGTGAAATAGGAGTTTGAAGCTCCCTGGAGGTAACACACAGCACCCTGGCTCCCTCCAGCACCCTCCTGCCCGGGTGCAGGGAGCTGAGGTGGCCCAGAGCCCTTGGAAGGGCGGGGGGGCTCGCGGGGGCGGTTCAGGGAGGGATCTTTCTGTGTGAGGTGTCTCCTCCTGGGCAGAGGCTTGGAGGGGGCGGTCGAGCCGGGCAATAGCTGGGTGCACCCTCAGAATATCGCGTTTTACCTCAATGAAAAGTAGACAAATCGTTTCGTTATCAGACACAGCAGTTGTGCCTCAGGAAACTACTTTATCAAGGACTTTCCATTCCTTTCTCCAAAGTCATGGCCTGAGGTGATGCCCTGGCTGTGGAAGGCGGCTCTGCCCACCCACTCTACCACCCGCGGGAGCTCTGGGCCTCTCCCAGGCGCTGCGGCGGGTGGGGCAGCTGGCCTAGAGTGGGCAGAGCCGGGCAGCCCTGGAGCCCCGGCCTCCTCCCCGCCTCTGCTCTGAAAACACTTGCTAGTCCTCTCTCTGCTCCTTCCCTTTCTGTTCAGCTCAGGGGACACAGACTTTCTGAAAAACTCTGGGCCGTTTTCCTCCACTCAAAGTGTTGCTTTGTGAGTCTGTTCCACCGGCTGACCCTTTCCTGCCTCTCCTTCTTCCATGTGTCACAGATGACAAAAATCTGCTTGCAAAAGACTCACAATTGCTGCTAAGTTATGTAAGTTTCTGGCAGGTGCAAGGTAGGCCAGTTAGGCCATGGGTCAAGAGAAAATAGGGCCAATCCAAACATTGATTTTGGAAGAAATGGAACCAGCTCTCTCCTCATCAACAGGGAGAAGCCACTTTCCAGAAAGAAGGCCCAGACACAGGTGAAGAGAAAGCAGTGGCAAGCCATTGAGAGAGCAGAACAGAATCAGCCCCTCAGTGGAGTAGATGCATGTTGGGGGGCAGGAAGTTGGGGCTGCAGAAGAGAAGGCAGGACACCCAGATCCCCACACGGAAGCCTGCAAGTCATACTTCCTGCTTCTGCCAGAGCCCAGCACCATCTAGCTCCTGCCAGGGACATCTTCCCAGCCCCACTCTGGAGAGAGCCACCAGCTCCTCCCCCACACTGAGCATGCGGGACCCTTACTTTGTTTCTGGCCAGGCCAGCCTTCTCTGCAGAGCAAGGCAAGGCACTAACCCAGCTTCACACACAGGGTACCCGGCCCAGGGCTTGGGGAGGAGCAAACTTGGGGTGTACGATGCTGTGGACCACAGCCCAAGAGGTTGGTCACGGTGGCACAACTTGCTAGAGGTGGGGACGCAGAGGAGGGACCTCGAGCTCTGCACTGGAGACGCAACTTCCTTTCCACAGCCTTTCCACAGCGGAGGTGCAGGCCAGCCAGGAAGCCCCAGGGCTGTGACCCTCCAAGGGAAGGAAGCAACGGAGGCTGGCAGGGCAGAGCTCCCGCTGGCCAAGGGGCTTGAGGCACTAACGCCCCCACTTCTGCTGCCAGGCACATGTACTGCCCCGGGGTGGCGAGGGCAGGCTGCATGGGGAGGCCCTGCAGGGGCAGCCTGGGCGTGAGGCGCAAGTCTCGGAATAAGCGACATACCCAGGGGTACTGGGGCCGGGCAGTAGACACTGGCCTGTTCCCACCTAGATCTAAAGAGGGGTGCCCTCCAGGCACAAGGGGAACAGAAGGGAGGACATGCCCAGTGGACCCCTTCCCTTTTGCAAAAATAGGGTCATTCAAGTTCCTCTCCAAGCTCCTTCTTTTCCTACTCATTGAACTTCCCACTGAGTGCACACAAGGCTAGGGACACGCGTAATGACCCTCGTGACTGTAGAACGTTCAGAGGCTTCAAAAACGCGCTCACACACCTTCCCATTCCATAGCCCTGCACGCTGAAGTTCAAGGTACGTGTTGCCTAAGGATTCATGAAGCTGGGACTCGAGCCAGGTCCTCTGCCTCTAGACAGCCCTGGCTGGTGGAAGACAGAGACAATCTCATCTTCAATGTGTTGCCCTTTCACAAGAACAGCAAAGAGGCAGTTGAGAGGGAATTCTGGCCTCCTCTTGCCTCCCAGGGGTTGGAAGAGGAGGCAGTGCAGAGAGGGCAGGGCCAGGGGCTGGGAGCAGAGGGCAGGGACAGGAGTGAGGGCAGAGGGGGCGCAGGGGGTTTCTGGGCAGAGGTCCACAGTCAAGCCCCAGCTTGAGAGAGAGCCGGGAAGCAAAGCCACAGATGCGGTCACTGTCTGTGAATTTTTCACCTTTGTGCCCAGAGCCCAGCTCCGAGCCACGGAGCTACTGAATAAATGTTTGTTCAATGAATCATTGCTAAAAATTAAGAATTTTAAGTCGGGGGAGGTCTGCAGGGGTGAGCTCTGCCTGGACAAGAGCAAGCACCCTGCACCCCAGTGAGGTGCCTTCTGTCCACAGCAAGACCAGAGAGCGCCAGAGGCCCAGAGGGAAAGAGATCAGAGGTGGACTTGGGGAGGTAGAGAGAAGGGCAGGAGTGAAGGCAGGTGGTCATGGGGTGGATCTCAGATATGGGAGATCCCAACTGAGGTCCCAGCGCTGCCACCTCAAGAAGGATGTAAGAGATACGGACAGGCAGATCTGTGGATAAATGAAACCATCTGCGCGAATGTGCTCTGTGCAGGGCAAACATTAGCCACTTTTTTTTGACAGGCAAGGTCAAGTTCTCCCTTGGTGGGGGGATTTGAGGACCATCCTCTATACAGGATGAGGTCAAGAGCTGCAGGGGCCTCCTTTCAACCTCGAATGGGCCCTGCTTGTGGGAGCGCCGGCCAGCTAACAGACCATTTCTATCTGCCTGGCCCAAGCCTGTGCCTGGGGAATCAAGAGTTCCCAGGGGACCCACAGCCAGGACAGCAAAAGCCCACCCAGAACAGGACAGGTGGGGACCTCCAGGGGGAAGGAGTTGTCACATCCCCAGGGCCTGGCCCCTCTGCACCTGGCCAGAGTACTCCACCCCACCAGACTTTTTTCTCCACTTCAGCTCACTGCCACACAGAGTCCCTTCCTTCCCACTGGGGTCAAGGGGTTCCAACTACACCTTAAAAAAGTCAAGGATCTCAGGGGGGCTCCCTGGTGGTGCAAGGGGTTAAGCACTGCACTAAGAAGCAATCCTCAGCCTCTGCAGCTTGCAGCCTCTGCAGCTTGAGTTCGATCCACAGCCTGCCAGGGTGATTCCCACGTGGCGCAGCAGACCTGGCCTGTTGCGCCCGCTGCTCCCCCCAGCAGTGTGTTTCAGTCAGTCTGTCTGTTCTCTTCCCCGCTCTGTCTCTGGTGAATCCTCTCACCCCCCACTTCTCTGGCCTGTACCCCAGCTCTTGTATGCATAAATAAATCTTAAAAAAAAAAAAAAAAAAGTCAAGGATCTCAGACAGAGGCTGGAGCCAGGTGATAGGCACTGGTTTTGCTACTCCTAAGATAGGCCCTGGCTCCCCAAGGCCCCCCACCTTGAGAACTGCAGGATGAGTGAAGGGCATTCCTGGCAGGATTTAGAAACAGAGGACCATTGAGCTAGACGTCCCAGAGTAACCTCGGGTGCAGCTGGACCTGTTGCCACGCCAGCCGAGCCTCGCTCAGTCCTCCCTGCTCCAGGCCCCTCTCGCCCGAGGCTCTGCAAACCCCCCGCTCCTTCCACCGACTCCCCCGTCCAGTCTCCAGGCAGGAGGACCCTCGGGGTGGGCCCCGGCCGTCCAGGAGAGCGTGGGCGCTGGAGCCACCGGGCGGGCTCTCGGGGGCGGCCATCGCGGGCTTCTCCGACCAGAATCCCGGCGCCCGCGGCCCCCGCCCGGGCGGCGCGCCGAGCCCCACACCTGGCTCCTCTCCCGCGCCTTCCCCGCGCTCGGGGCGGCCATCTTCTACGCCCAAACCCCGGGGCCCGAGCGCCCCCTTCGGGGAGTCCCCGGCGGCGAGGGAGCCCCGCGGCAGGCGCGGACGCGCGGGTCCCGGGGCGCGCGGCTGGCCCGGCCGCCCCGGCGCACGGGCTCCGGGAGGGGCCGCGCGCGGCGGACACTTTCCCGCGCTCCTGGCCGCCGCGAGCCGCGCGCCGCGCGGGCGGGTGCCGGGCCCGGGGCGCGGCTCCCGACGGCCGCCCGCAGCCGGGGGCGCCCGGCCTTACCGTGGCGTCCTCCCCCGCGTAGTGCCCGATGACGCGGTGGCCCCCGGGGTGCCGGCTGGCCCACTGCGTGATGTTGTAGACCTTGCGGTCCACGACGAGCCACTTGTCGGTGCGCAGGTTGTGCTTCTGGATCTCCTCCCAGCGGAAGGTGGGCACCGGCGCCTCGCGCTCGGCGGCGCCCTCGCCCTGGTTCCCGCCCCTGCCCATGCTGCGGCCTCCCCGCGCCGCTGCTGTGCCGGCCCCGCGCGCCGCGCCGCCGGCTTTTGTCTTCCCCTACTCCGCCTCCCGCCGCGCCCCCTCCCCCAGCCCGCGCCTCCGCCCGGGCGCCGCGGCCTCGCCCCGCGCAGCCCCGGCCGCCGAGTGCCCCCGGCGGCCCCCGCCCGCCCCGCCCGCGGCCGCCGTGGACTTTCGCCTCCAGCGAAACTCCCGGGGCGCTCAGGGCCCCGACGCCCCCTCCGCGCGCCCCCCCGGCCCCCCCGCCCGGGGCTCCGCATCCTCCCGCGCTCCCGGCCGCCCGGGTTTCCACAGCGATCAGCAGAGCGCCTGCACCAATCGGGGCGCGTCGCCCCGCCTGCCATTGGCCCAGGAGGATCTTTCGAAGGCCAGCGGGCTGGAGCGGCGGTCCCGGCTCCCCCCGCCCGCCGCGCGCCGCCGAGCTCCGCGCCGGGGCGGGCGACGTGGCCGCTCCCTCCCTCCCTCCCTCCCCGCACGCTCCCCCGCCCCCCCGCGCCGGCCCGGGGCTCCCGAGGCGATCCCCGAGGAGCGCGGGCGGGGAGGGGCCGGGGGGAGGCGGGGTCGGCGGGGGCTCCGCGCGCCCCGGGGCCTGCTGCGCGCGCTCGGCGATCCCGGGCTGTGCACCTGATGCTGGCACAAAGCGGGCTCGGCGGCGGGGCTCGGCGGGCCGGAGGGCTGCGGGCCGCGCCAGGCTCCCCTCCCACCCCGCGGCCGACGCGCTGCGCCCCGGGACCGGCTTGGCCGGGAGACGCCCTTCCCCAGCCCGCTGGATCGAGACTCCGGGATCGCCACATTGTCTGCCTCTCCGCGCCGGCGCCCGCCTGCAGCCTTCCTGGAGAAATTAGCCTTTCTCGTGCTCGTCCGGGGCTCCGAGCCTTGGAGTCGCACGGTCCTAGGACCGAATTGCGGGACCGCCGCTTCCTTTCTAGGCAGGGTGGTGGGGGGAGGTGGGGGCGCGACCACGAACCCGACGGGCCCTGCCCGAACTCAGGGAGCTCCCGGAAGCGTTAAGGACGCGCACCATGCAGTGGGCTGTGATGGTGGACAGACTCTGGGAAATAAAGCTGGGGTACCAAAGGGATGGCTGGAGGGGTGGTTCTCCTAGGTATGGGTGCAGCGGCAGACCCCCAGCCCTAGCTGGATGGAGCAGCAGAGCATCCCTGTCCCCAGGGGGAGGGCCCACCCCCCAACTCTGGGGTGGGGGGTGCCTTTGGGCATCCTCAACCCTGTGAGCTAAACAGGCCTCTTACAACAATATCTGACACCGGGAGACTGAGGTTTAAGAAACATGAGTAAGCCAAAGGGGCTTGGTTAGCTAGGCGCAGCTGTGCCCTTTCCACACACCACCTGTCTCTCTCCTAATGAGATCAGTGGAAAGGAGCCATTGTAGGAACTTACTGGGGAGCAACCTGATATTGGTGCAGGACAGAGAGGTGGGGAGCAGGACAGTGGGGGGGGGGGGCGGGGAGGCACAAGAAGCCCCTTTCATGCCAGCCACCTTTCTGGTGTTGCCATCATGCTGGTCTCAGTCCTTCATTCACACCACGAACTTCAGGCAGGAAGAGAGTTGGCCCTCCAGGGCGGAAGAGCGAGCTTGGGAGCAGACATCCCAGCCAAAAAGATAAGGGAGAAGGACCCGGCACCTCAGGAGTGAGTCTATGCTGCCTTTTATATCTGTTGACAGTTTACTGAGCCCTTGGGCAAGACTGTTTATTGTTCCAACGGTGGATCAGCACATAGATACCTTTAATGAAATATTTCCAGAGGTCTGGAACTCCGAGAAAGAGGGAGTTCTGACAGAGAGTCCCAGGGACTGTCTCACAGGGTGGTCTCAGAGGCTGAGAACAGGGCACGTGTGAAGGCCCGAGGCTCTAAAAGTCAGCAGGAATATTTGGGATGGGCAAGAAGTGGGATCCGGCCAGGGTTTGGGGTTCCTAGCAACTCCTAAAACAGCACTAGCCAAAGTAGCCCCTGAAAAACATCTGCTGAAGTCCTGCGTGAATGAATGAATGCATGAATACATGAATGTGTGGTGAGGAGTGGCTCTGGAGAGGCCCGCTACAGAAAGGGTTCAAACTGGGAGAAGTCTTGGGTGCTTGGGTAAGGATGGAAGGTTCTGTCCTGGAGCAGGAGAAATTGGTTCAGCAGAAGTGTGCCGTGACCAGACCTGTGCTGGAGAAAGAGAACTCCAGGGCAGGGGTTCCTAGGGATGTAGGGGAGAGAGCCTGGAAGCAGCAGCATCAGTTCAGAGGCAAGTGCAGGGCACCAGGAGAGAGAGGAGGGGCCTGGCCTTCAGCAGACACTGCCTCGTCCCATCTGACCTCTTTCCACTCTATTATTTATGGCCCTTGCACTTCTTGAATGATTTTCTTAAAGAAAACCCCACTGTCCTCTGGCCTGTACCCCAGATCTTGTATGCATAAATAAATCTTTATTTAAAAAAAAAAAAAGAAAACCCCACTGTATCCAGCTGACTCCAAAGTCACTTAGGAAAAGGGTAATCACCAGGAGGGACGAGGTTCCTATGGCTTCCAGTGACCCACAGAATCCCACCCCTTGCCCCTAGCGGTACAAGGACCACAATTCCCTAGGCATCTTGCCAGGAGCTCCTTACGACCATTTAAACCAGGGACAAAGAGATCAGCCAGGGTGGATTGGCGCCCAGGGCCGCTCACCCAGCCAAGTGGGTGAAAGGCTGGGCAGAGTGGGGAGGTGCCTGGGGAGATGGCGCGGGAGGGATGCACCCCTACCACCCACCCCCCAGGATGGGTGCAGAGCCTTTCCATCTTGGCCCCATAAGGAACTGGTATCTGCTGAGCCTGGGGCCTTGGAAGCCAAGAGGCTGGTTAAAAAGAGGGAAAGCAAAAGTGGAAGAGGCCTGAATGCAACAGCCGCGAGGGCAATGAGATGAAATATGATTCTGACAGCGCCTGGCGGGCAAAGGACTAGCTGGCCTGTCACTTCCTTTCCTGGACTGACAAACACAGCCCTATCACTCCTGCTCTTTAGCAACCTTCAGCCGCTTTTCTCCCAAGCCCTGGCCCCGGTCTCTCCCAGCCCCTACGGTCACATCTATGCAGCTCTTTCTGGTCTGTCTCCCATTCACTTCCCAGATCACGCCAATCTTTGTTTCTTTTTTTTTTTTTTTTTTTTATAAAGAGCATTTTTTTTTTTATGGTTAAGATTTATTTATTTATTTATTTATACAAGCACTGGGTACAGTCAGAAGCGCGGGAGGGTGAGAGAACCCACCAGAGCCAGAGCGGGGAACAGAACAGGCAGACCCATGAAGTACACTGCTGAGGGGAGCAGCGGGCGGCAGGAGAGGTCCGCGCGCCATGTGGGACCCTCCTCCGGTGGCCAGGGAGCAGCCGGGGATCGAACCGACACCGCAGAGGCTGCGGGCAGCCTCGCAACCCAGCGCTCAACTGCTGCGCCACCGGGGAGGCCCCAATCTTTGTTTCTAATAGCGGCAATAACAAACCCTCCCCTGGGCTATCAGGCTTAAGTGTGCAAAGGACTTGCCAAGAGTCGACAAAGCGCTGGGTACAGTGCCCAGCACAGAGTAGGCAATCAGTAGACGGGGGTTCTTACCTGCCCATCCACGACCTCACACCAAGGTAGGTTCATCACTCCCTCTCTGCAGGTGACGCGGCCACCCAGGAGACAATGGGCCTGGACCCTCAACCAGCAGAGAGACTGAGTCCTGTGAGGCAAACCCCTCACCCTGTTCCCATGGAGCCTTCTGGGACCCTCTCAGGAAGGTCACCAAGTCCAATCACCCCTTCTTGGATCTGAGAGGCAGCCGGCAGGCTGGCATCCCTTTCCTCTTGCAGTGCCATGCTCCCTTGGCTCTTCAGCAGGTCACCATTCCGAGTCTGCTGCTGGCCACCCCCTTCTGGTCTCCTCCACGTGTTTCTCTTCCTCCTCTCCTGCCTCCCTGACTGTTTCTGGGCTCGCTCTACATGTGCTCCTCAGGTACCACCTTTGGGATGGCTTGGCCTCCTGTGCACGCAGGTCTGAATGTCCTACTGCCCTTCCAACTCGACGCAGCCTCGTCTCCAAGCAAACAACACGTCTCAGCAGAAGTGTGCTGGGTGCCCTGGGTCTACCCAGCATCACTGCTTCCAGCGCAAAACTGAATTTGTCCCCTTCGCTGGCCAAGACTCAGCCCCTTCTTTGCTTCATTTCTGTTAATGGCACCGCTCTCCTTCCCACCTCCAGCTCGGAATTCCAGAGCATCTTGTCCCTCTCTTCTTTTGCCCCTTACCCTTGCAGGCCCCTCTGATCCACAGCTCCCACTCCAACAGCGACAGCGTTTCCCATCTGCCACTATTGTTCTGCGCCAGAGGCTCCCGCTTTCAGGCTTGCACCCTGCCGTGGTGTCCTTTGCTCAGCTCGGCTCTCACCAAGACTGTTTCTGCCCTGGCTTCTCATCGCCTAGTCAATTAGGAGGGATGGGGGAGCAGGGGAGGACGGAAGCCACATAAATATCAGCTGTATTCCCTGAAGACTTTGGCCTTGCCTGCAGCTCCAACCCAAACAGCTAAAAAAATATACAGGATGTCACCAGAGGATGATGGCGGGAGGGAGAATGCCTTGTTTTTGCACCAAGTCATGGTAAGAACATTCCACGTAGTTCTGATGATGACGCCTATGGGGCTGATGCCTGACTGCAAATGGACGCCGGCGGTGAGCGAGCAGGCCGAAGGGACAGGAGGCAGTGAAGGTGGGCCCGGGCCATCAGGCTTGCTCACTAACCCTGGAATACTACATAAGAGGGCCCTCCTGGAGAGCTGAGGAGGACACCAGCCTACCACACACAGAAAAAGCTTTCCTTTCCCTGGTGGGAAAAGCCCGTGTGAATGAACAGCGGGTGTTCACCCCAGAATCCCCGGGGGAGCCCAGGCTGGCTTTGATTCTCACATCGTATGAAATCTTCACATAATTTGCAGTCCTCTCAAGGAAGGACAGAGGCATGACA